GTATTTACACGTGTGTCCTATTTATTTCACTTAAGAGTATTGCCCCAGTGTGCATCCACTTAGCTATAAATGTCTCTAATTTCTCATTTTTTATAGCCTAAATTTTCTTAGACCAAGAAACTGCTTGATTTTTATCTACATATTTTAAAAATTATGCATTGGATCTGGTTAGCTCTTTCAGTGAATCTGCAGTAGGAAATAAGAACCTCTTCTAGATATAGCCAGCAGAATGGAATTTAATACAGGGAATTAATTATGAAAATGTTAGAAAATATAGAGAGAAAAGAGAAGGGAGCATCCAATAATTGAGAAGCTATGACTAGCCAGGGTAGTCTATGGTCACATTTGCTCTTGAGCTACTGAAGGTGCCGCTCCTCCCATTGAGCAGGACCTACCCCTGCCCAATGATATAAAGTCACCACTGCCATGACCCATATTAGTTACCTCTCTTTTCCTGCTTGTAGAGATAAAAGTAGAATATATTTCTTCCTGTTGCCTACTAATTTCTTATTCATACTCCCATTGGTAGAATTTAGCAGTAACACCGTTGTCCAGAGAATCTTGGAAATTTAGGTTTCAGGACCAGCATAGTGCTAAAAAAATTGTTTAATTCATTTTAGGTTGTTAAGGGCAATAATCATATAATTTTTATCTTTGTAATATCAGTGAGTAACTCAAAGTCTGTTGCGTGGTGGCTGTCATAGAATTATTTGTTAAATATTTAACTTGGGGTTATTTTTGAATACAGAAATATATATATATGAATAAAGTTTACTTTTTTATCTTGCACACACAAAAAGTTGGATTCTCAGTATTTCAGAGTATAATTTCATTTATGGAAGGACCAGTGTTACTCAGCTTCAACAATAGTACCTGGCACATTTTAAGTAAATATTTGCTGATTAATAACTGTTTGACATATTATATTTACTCTTAAAATATGTCACTGTAAATAACTTATTGGTAGTTTTGGTGATTTATTATATATATATTTTAATTCTACTTGAAGTTCATGATATTCCTTCTCTCTATTACAGCATCAAACACCTGGCTTGTTCCAGAAACTAAAGGAGCTATTGTACAAGGTGGATATGGCCATACAAGTGTGTATGATGAAATAACAAGGTCCATTTATGTTCATGGAGGGTATAAAGCATTACCAGGCAATAAATATGGATTGGTAGATGATCTCTATAAGTATGAAGTTAACACAAAGACTTGGTGAGTAACTTGATTAAAAGTATGATAAGAAGAAAATGTGACATAGTTATATTTTGTATTTGTATCATAATCATATTTACTAAATATATTCATGGAAAAATTCTTGGACTTCTTTCTTTATTTCAACTAATGACATGCTATCATGTAGCAGTGGCACAAAATAAAAAAATTTTCTCTTTAGTCATCATTAATATAAATGACTTACTTTAAAATGGTTACTGGTTCCATAGAAATTCTTACTCTGTGTGCATTACTTTATACTAGTAAGTGCTGATAGAATGTTCATTTTGATGAACATTTTTTTTTACCAGTAAAACTTTCAGCTTTTATATCATCTGTCCTGGGATTTGTTCTCATTTACACTCACATTTAATTGATAAATATAAATTTTTAAAGGATTTTTTTAGTTTCATTATTTTACTGCCTATGAAATACATAGCTTGTGGTATTTGGGCCAATTTTCTTTTTCTGTTGTTGTAAGCAGTGCCGCATTTCGTTGGTCTTCTCATGTATATGTGCAATAATACTCTAGGGTATATACTTAAAAGTGAAATTGCTATTTATGAATTGTTTTTCAGATCACTTTGGTAATGTACATTTTCAACAATAGGGTGTATCTTTGTGTGATGGTATTGTTATTAATACACAGTAACTATGAGGATTTCTACTATTGCCAGTGTGATAGGTGGGAATGATATCTTACTGATATTTTAATATGCATTTCCCAAATTATTGTTGTAGATAAGCATATTTTTATGGGCACATTTACCATTGTTTCTTTTTTAGTGAATTGCCTGTTTGTACTCATTATATTCTTTTTATGTTTTTAAATATTATTCATTAGTGTTTCATTTATTGATTTTCTAGGTATATAATTTTTCAAATAGAATTCTTATTATACTCACCTTTGTAAAATCTGGGAAATGACTATCTTACTCACTTACCTTTGTAAAATCTGGTAAATGACTCTTTTTGCTTTAAGACATACATTCTTTTAAAGTTAGCATAAAGTTGGGCCAGGGATTTAGCTCAATGGTGTGACCACCTGACTCCAAAGTGCAAGGTCCTGAGTTTGGAGTTTGATCCCTGGTACCAAAAAACAATCAAACAAACAAACAACATGAAGTTACTTGATGTATTTAAAGAAGAATAGTATTCAACTACATAGTGGATTTGCTCTATCCCCACTTACTTTCAAACGTATACCTTAATTTTTACATTCTTTGGGGGGAAGGATAGAATTATGACTTGTATTTTGTGAAAGAAATGGATGAGAATTTTTTTCAAACATGACAAATGACATCAAGCCACAGATTGAAGAAGTTCCACGAGCACCACCTGAGATAAGTACAAAAAAGCTCATGCTTAGAGACATTATGGTAAAACTGCTGAAAACACAAAGAGAAAAATTTCAAAGCAACTAGAGGGGAAAAAGGCATCGTTTGTCTTTTAGACTCTCAACTGATTTCTTAACTGAAAAAATTGACTCCAACTTCAAATGGTTGAAATAAAATAAGATAAAATATAGAAAATAAAATAAATGTAAAATAAAAGAAAATAAAAAGTGGCCTAAAATTCTACATCATAAGAAATATCCTTTAAAAAACATGATAAAGACATTTTCAGGCAAACAAGAACTGAGAGAATTTGATCACTGCAGATATGTAATAAAGGAAATACTAAATGAAACAAATACTACTAAGGCAGAAGAAAAATAATTCCTGATACTGAGTGGAATGTACAGATATGAGAGAGAATAAATCCAATCAATTATCACATAAAATGTAATAGAAACAGAGGCTTGATTATACACATAATTTAAAAGCATGACAATAATGGTACATAAATCAGAAAGAGATAAATAGGTGTTAAAATACTGAAGTCCTTGTATTATTTGGGAATTGATAAAATTGATATTACACATTAATTATTAAGGATTTATATTGTAATCATTACATAACAACCAAACATTAACAACATAGATCTAACAACAATAGATGGGAAAATGAAAATAGTAACTGGTACTAATAGATTTGGAAAAAGGAAAGCAAAGCAAAGTAACAAGACAGGTATGACAGGAATACTAAAATGATGCATAGTTCCAAATAGATCAATAATTATACTAAATGTAAGTAAATAGTCCAGTTTTATGAAATGTAAGATAAAAATATTTAAATTAAAAGCCAAGGGTTTTTGGACTGTATGTAAAAAACAAATCTAGTTATATATTTCATAGAAAAGATATACCGTAAATAAAAATATTTATTCAAGTTGAATGTACAAAGATGGAAAGAAGATACATGATGCAATCACTAAACTAAAGAAAGTTATTATAGCTATATTAATATTAGACAAATAAGACTTTAAGCCAAGTGTCTCCCTGAACAATATACGTAGCAGTTCTGAATTTATACAGACCTTATAGCACTGTGTTAAAATTAACAAAGTAAGGGGTTGGGGATGTAGCTCAGTGGCTCCATACCTGCCCGGCAAGCACAAGGTCCTGAGTTCAATCCCCGGCTCTGGAAAAAAAAAATTAACAAAGTCAGAACTGAGAGAATTAAGCAGGACAAATCAGAGTAGGACCTTTAAAATCTAGTTCTCTTGATTATAAATAGTACTAGAAGACCCCAAATCAGCAAGGATATAAAAGATTTGAACAGTTAACAGTTTTTTCTTCTTTGAAATGAGAGCACCAAACCTTGTAATTGTAGCGTAGAACATTATTTTCAAGCACATATGCAACTTGTCCAAAATTTACTATATGCTAGTTTTAATTCAAGTCTTAATAAACTTAAAAGGATTGAAAACCTACAAAGTAATTGATCACACTGAAAAGAAAAAAAGAAACTTTTTAGTGGTTATATAAAAGTAATCAACACAAACCTAATCTTGGAATTAATAAATTTCTTTTAAGTAATTGGTGAAAGAAATTACGCTGAAAATTATAAGATATTTTGTACTGAATGATGACACATCAAAATGTGTATGATTTAGGTAAGAGGGACAATTATACCCTTGAAGGTATTTATTAGAAATATTTTTAGAAGCCTGAAAGTCAATAGTGTAATCTTTTTCTTTGTATTAGCGCATGTTTGCAGTGCGTAATAATTATACTCATCATGGGGAGTTGGTGCATGGACAGGACACATGTTCATTTTTCATCCTCTTTGCCCTCTTCCCTTCTCTTGGCTCCTTCCCTTTTGCAAAAGATTTATTTCCCTGTTTCCTCTTGCTTTGTATTTTGCTCTTTATTTATATTTTGAGATTCTCATATAAGATAAATCATGTGATATTTAAACTGTGGGCTTAATATTGTGTTTGTAAAGTGGATTCATGTTTTTACAAATGACTCAAGTTTATCCTTCTTTGTGCCATAGTACTCCATTGTAATACCATATTTTCTTTCTGTATTCATCAGTTGATGGATATATAGGGTGCTTACAAGATTTAGCTGTTAGGACTTGTGCTCCTTCAAATGTGGGTATGCATACACAGTAGACTCTTGACTTACGAACTCGTTCAGTTCCCGAGGGCTGGTTGTAACTAAGTCAATACAGCTGAAATCTGGATGTTTACCTGGGTAAAAACTATAAATAAGAAGAGGCAGATGAATCTTCCATTAACCTAATTAACCTAAGTTGTTCCTATGTCAGGCCGGTTGTAACTTGAGGGTCCTCTGTATTACTATAATATGATGTGTTTAATTCTTTGGGAAAGATACCTATGAGTAGAATAGCTGGGTCAAATGGAATTTCTAGCTTTAGTTTTTTGAGCAATCTCCGTGCTGATTTCCGTAATGGTTATATCAGTTTACACTCCTTCCAACAATGTAGAAGAGTCCCTCCCTGCAAACAACAATGCAGTTCTAAAGAAAGGGGAAAGCAAATAAATATATGAAGAGAAAGAGATGTGAGATAAGAACACAAATTGACGGAACAGAATGCTAACATATGGTAGAGTTGATCCATAAAGTCATCAAAAATCAACAAAATAATGGTATATAAAGACTACGAAAATAGAGACAAAATCATACTCAACCCATGTCAAGATTGAAAAAGAACATCACTACAGATCATGCAGACATAAGTTAATAAGCACAAATAATAAGCAGGTGTTATGAAAATATATTTCAAAAAATATATGCATCATTGAAAATTTCTAGAAAAAACTTTGTAGAAATGACACGTGGAAAAACAGGAAATTGCAGTGATCTTATGTCAGTGACATAGAATCTGTAATTGAAATCTCTTGCCTCAAAACAAACAAATAAGTAAAAACATATACAAACAAAAATAAAACAAAATGAAAAACTCTTTAGGCCCAGATAACTTCATGGGTAAATTATTCTGGGTAATTAAAACATTAAAAGAAAAAAGTAAAGTTCTTACAATTTCTTTGAATGATTCAGTAAAATGTTTGGAAAAAATTTAACATTTTCATGATAAAAAGTTTTGGTGAATTAGAATTTGCACAAATTACTTCATAGTAAAATATATAAAAGAACAGAAAAACTTTACTGCAGCAATTACAGTGAAATATTGAAAGGTTTCCCTTTAAGTTTGAATCACTAATTCTATTCAACATTGTTTCAGAAATTCCACCCAATGCAAGAAGGCATTTAATAAAATGATATGATGTAATTATATGTGGGTAATAGGTTGCTACATAAAAGGTCAATATAAAATCAATCAAATGTAATTGTATTACCAGGAACCATGTAAAAATAATTTAAAAGCATATAACTTATGTTGCCATCAGAACATCAACAACCTAAAGAGTAGATCTGATGACATATATGAAGGATCTTCACAGAGAAAATTATAAGCTCTTATTGTGAGAAATTGAAGAAGACCTAAGTAAATGGACACATTATGATAACTGCTTGAAAGACTCATTACTGTAGAGATGTCTGTTCTACCCAAATTGATCTAAAATTTTAAAGTAATCCCAAACAAAATTCTAGCAGGTATTTTTCTATTAAACCACAAACAGGCTGG